AAAAAAAAAAAAAAAGAAAGAAAGGTATAAAGCCATGGTGAGCTCAGGCCCAGCGTTAGTGAAGCATATGCTTCTCCACAATCAGGACTGCAGGCCCAAGGCAGAGACAACCTCAATTGACAACCTCAATTCTCCCTTTTCTCCTTAATAGCAGAATGATTATTCTTATTTAAATTATTTTTAACTGGGCAAATTTTGTCCTGGAAAAAAAGACTACCTTGGCCTGAGCACAGTCACATAACTACCCCTTCTCTCTCCCTTGCACTCAGTGTAGCCATGTGACTCTTTCTGGCCAATAAGATGTAAATAGAAGCATTGTGTGAGACTTCTGGAAAGACTGCATAAAGGCTGCTGATTCAGCCGAGAAGCACCTTTTTTTGCCTTCAACCTTTCCTTCTTTGGCCTAGGTTATAGATGTGACAGCTGGAGCCCTGGAAGTCATCAGGGACCATGAAGCGACCTTTGCAGAGAAAAGCCATACACTGGGCTGGGCACCGTGGCTCATATCTGTAATCCCAGCACCTTGGGAGGCCAAGGTGGGTGGATCACCTGAGGTCAGGAGTTTGAGACCATCCTGGGCAACATGATGAAACCCTGTCTCTACTAAAAATGCAAAAATTAGCTGCACGTGGTGGCACGCACCTGTAATCCCAGCTACTCAGGAGGCTGAGACAGGAGAATTGCTTGAACCCAGGAGGCAGAGGTTGCAGTGAGCCGAGATTATGCCTGGGTGACAGAGCGGGACTCCATCTCAACAACGACAAAAAAATAAGCCATACACTGAAGACGGAAGAACAGAAAGAGAGAGGAGTATAAGTCCCTGATGGCTTTTTGAGTCTCCCATGCCAGGCCTGGGCTGTCTATTAATCTTCTGACTTCTTTTATATGAGAAAGAAGCATCCATCTCATTTAAGCTACTGCTATTTTGAGTTTTTCTGTTATAATTGGCCCAACTTAATTCATGTCAGAGTAACCGGGCTCACTGCAATGGACTGAATGTTTGTGTCCCTGCAAAACTCACATGTTGAAACCTAATCACCAATGTGATGATATTAGGAGGTGGAGCATTGGGAGGTGATTAGGTCACGAGGGTAGAGCCCTCTTGAATGGGATTAGTGACCTTATAAAGAAGGCTCCAGAGACCTCCCTCCACCTTCTGTCAAGTAAGGACACAACAAAAAGACAACCATCTGTGAACCAGGAAGGACCTCACCAGACCGCAAATCTGCTGGTGCCTTAATCTTGGACTTCCCAGATCTGTGAGAAATTAATTTCTGCTGTTTATAAACCACCTCGTCTATGGCATTTTATTATAGCAGCCTGAATGGACTAAGATACTCTCTGTCACCTAATAGTCCAAATTTCAAATGTAGCCAGGTATACAGATTTGTATATGACATATTATGATGTCAAAAATGTTAGAAACCACATAAAAATATTTAAAACACTGAGCAGGCCAAACAAACCATGTCTGTGAGCTGCATTCAGCCCAAGTGGCCCTCTGGCCTATACCATGAATGGTGGTGATTAGGCCTGTTAAAAACAGCCAGTCCTGGCTGGGCGCGGTGGCTCACGCCTGTAATCCCAGCGCTTTGGGAGGCTGACGTGGGCCGATCACGAGGTCAAGAGATCGAGACTATCCTGGCCAACATGGTGAAACCCCGTCTCTACTAAAAATACAAAAATTAGCTGGGCATCGTGGTACATGACTGTACTCCCAGCTACTCAGGAGGCTGAGGCAGGAGAATTGCTTGAACCTGGGAGGCGGAGGTTGCAGTGAGCCAAGATCGCGCCACTATACTCCGGCCTGGCAACAGAGTGAGACTCTGTCTCAAAAAAAAAAATAATAATAATAAAGAAAACAGCCAGTCCTGTCATTTCTGTAAGGATGGTACTTCCCCATCCACTTGAACTTAAGTGTGACCATATAATTTGTTTTGACTGATGAAATATGAGCAGAAAGGATGAGCAGAAGGGATGTAAGACATTTCTGGGCAGACAACTTCAGAACCAGTGTGGGGTTTGTCACATCCTCTTTTCTCTGCAACCACCATTATAAAAGTATGTCAACGTGGAGCTTCCTTCAGCTGGATCTTCGAGTAACTTGGAAGAACAGAGCACCCTGGTAACCTGTCTTATAGTGCATAAACAAGAAATAAACATGTTTGTTGGAAAGCCGCTGGAACTAGAGGGGTGTTTGTTACCACAGCATTACCTAGCTTATCCTGACTGACCTGCCATCTTGCATCCTGGATATTATCACTGGAATTGCACAAAACCCTCCCTTGGGTTTTTTTCTGTGGGTGAAATTTCCCCCTCTTTCTAGCCCTCCTACTCATTCTTTTTTCCATGCATTATTTCACTCTTTCACACATTCATATGTCAGAGGCATGGGAGGAGGCTTCTAGGTGGCAAGTCAAGCCCCTGCTCTCAGGGAGCTCACATGCCTCCTCTGATTGAGTGGTCTTCCCTTATGGATCCTTGTGGACCCTTCCCAGCCTCCCTCAACCAACCTAGCCATGAGTGGGGAACAGAGCAGGTGGGGTGGAGTCCTTTGAGGACAGCCTCTTAAGACTATGATTTGTGTCAGGGTTGGGTTTTTGTTTTTATTTTTTAATTTAATTCAACTCTTACCACTTCTAGTTAGAAAATCAATGCTCAGAGAGGTTAACTAACTTGCCCAGTGTTACACAGTTAGGAAGCAGAGCCCTGGACTTGAAGCCAGTTCTGATGACTTGCCCGGCCTGTGCACCCTGACTACCCTATACTACCTGCCTCTACAGAAGCCTCTCGACCGGGGTCAGTACCATCCTCAAACACCATTGGTAGCTCTGAGGCCCCACAGCAGCTAAATGCACAGGCTCTGGAGACAGACTGCCTGGGGTCAAAGCCCAGCTCTGCCCTCTCATACCGGTATTACTGTAGGCAAATTAACCTCAGTTTCCTCATCTGTAAAATGGAGGTAATACTTGAGTCTATTTGAGCCAATATAAATAAGGTGCTTAGAATGGTACCTGGCACACAGTGTATGCCCACTGAATTTTAGCTATTAACACTATTATTATCTTTATGCCTCATGAACAGTTGATTTTGTCAGATTTCCTGCCCCACTGACCTCTAGTGGAGAGGATATTGAAAGAATGGGACGCTAGATGGTTATGCTTTGAAAATATTAGTCATTATCTCATATGAAACTCACAATAAATTTGTTCAGGTAATTAGTGTAAGAGCCTCCTTTACAGATAAGAAAAATGAATCTCAGAGGCTAGTTTCCTGCCCCACATCTAAGAAGGGATAGTAGAGAGACTCAGAGCCAGATCTGTCTGTCTTCAGCTCTGGAGGGGTTTCCATGACATGACTTAGATGGAGAAGAGTCCAGTGGTGTAGGAGCTCACTTCCCTAGGCCAGGGAAGCCCACAGAAGAGGGTGAAGCACCGAAGACTATGGGTGCAGTCATTTGACAATGGCCACCTTTTGGGACTCCACTGTGGGCAAGGCGGGCACGGTAAATCCATCATACTAGCTGCTGATGCCAAGTGACTTTCTCTGGTGAGCCAAGTGTGGCCCCTGTGACAGCAGCTTCCTCTCCTATTTCCATCTGCCTCTCTCTAAAGTTCCCAAGTGATGGCCAGCCTTCCCTGAACTCACTCTGACACCTGGATATAGGCAAGTCCTGCAAAACCTGGGTGGGGGAAGATACAACGGCACTGAGGTTGGGAAGTCCATGCTGAAAAATAGAGGCCTACTCACTGGCCCCACGTGGGGAGTCTGTGCTAATGATGCATGTCCAGACTGGGTGGGGCCCACTTTAGCCTTTAGCTGATGGACAGGGAAACAAAGGCTGAGAGCCTGGGTCTCTGTGAATGCACCACACGTCTCAGGGAGGTGGGTAATGGGAACGAGTCTCCTACCTCTGCTCTCTCTCCTGCCCATCCCAGAGACTCAGATTAATGCCCTCACTATCTCCACTGCCTTTAGCTGGATTTCTCCTCAGTTTCTCCTAAGTTAAGGGAAGAGCACTCCCATGACCTACTTCTGTCTGTTTATTTTGTCATAGATTGAAAAAGGATTTGAAATTCTCACTGAATCTGATGCAGTTAGTGCAAATCTGTGGTCAGCAGAAGAAACAGGAGGGCTTGACCTGTACTCTGTGGAAGCTAATAGAGCTTGCACAGGGGCTTGAGTGTGGTAGATGGCAGCTATGTCCATTAGAATGCTTTGGTGCTTTTGTTTGGGTAAAAAAAAAAAAAAAAAAAAAAAAAAAATTTAAAAAGAAGGCTTTGGGCTGCAAGTAACTGGAAATCCAACTCAAAGTGGTTCAAACAATAAGAATCTTTATTATTTCATTAAAAAAAAAAAAAAAACCTGGATGTAGGACAGGCTCTTAGAGAAGCTCCACGAAGTAATCAAGAACCTAGTTCTTTCTATTTGTATTTCCATCCACAGTGGGTCAGTTTTGCCTCCACTGGCTTCCCTTGCAGTTGCAAAATGGCTGCTGCAGTTCCAGGCATCACGTCAGACACCCTGAAGAACATCTCTCCTGCTGTCTTCTTTCTAAGAGTAAAAAACTTTTACCCAGAAACTGCCTACTACATTTCTCCTCAAATCTCATTTCCCAGAACAGGGTCATCAGCTAACACGGGCTAAAGGAATTTCCCCATGTGTTAGGTGGCTAGGTATCTTCTGTGAGGCCCTCCCCTTCTCCACCCTCTCTGTGTCCTGCAAGGCTGATGTGTATGGTCCACATCTACAGGCAACCTTGCTGTCTGACTTCAGGGTGAACTTAGCTAATGGGGAATGCCAAAGAAGTCCTCACAGAATGGGAAGAGGGAGAGGTCAAAGTGTTTGTTCTCCTGGTGCCCTCCTTGCTGGGTTGCCATAAGTCTGCTGTATCTTCAACCAAAGGCCACAGCTTCCATCAGGCAGCACTCTCCGTACTCTGCCTCCTCTAGTTCCAGTTCCTGCTCCCTCCCTTGCCTTCTCAGGCCTAGAAGAAGAAGCAAGCTCCCCATCATTTCCAGCCCCAGGATACTTCAACATCCCTTAATGCAATTCTCAAACCCTTCCCATACTTTTGCAATAATCCTTTGCCCAGCTCCCTCAGTTACCCAGCCAGAAGGTGCTATTCTCTATCCTTCCTCAAACCTGATCAATACACTGGACTGGGACAGAGCTCCCTTTGCAGTCTTGAATCACTGTCTCTTGGGCCTCTTCCCAGAAGGTCTCTTTGGCACTTAACCCTCAGTCCACCAAATAGCATGCATCTCCCTATCCCCCATCTTGACTTCCCCATCTCTGTCAATAGTACCACCAACCACTCAGTATCCCAGAGTCAAAACCTGGGTATCAACTTCTCCTCTCCCACTGCCCTGTCCCCCATTCCACACAGAATAGGATCTACTGGTTCCACTTCTAACTCTCTCCACACCTCAACCCTTTACTCAATTTCAGGCCTCCATCACTGCTCATCTGCCTCATGATAGCAGCCTTCTAAGTGATTACCCTGCCTGTGATTCATGCCACTCCCTGCTGCTGCAAGAAACTTCCTTAACCACAGCTCTGATCACGATGTTATTCTCCTGCTCAAAAACCTGCCCCCATTCCAAATGCCTTATTCCATCATCAAAGCCCTCCATGCTTAGCCCCCTACCCAGTTTCCTGGTTTCAGTTCCTGCTACATGCATAACCCTTGGGCTATAGAGGTCAGCTATTGCTGGGAAAAATAATCACCCCCAAAACTCAGTGGCTTAAAACAACAACTTCTGTTATTGCCCAGTTCTGCTGATCTGGGCCAGGCTTGGCTCACTCACATGTCTGCAAGCAGCTGACAGCAGGCTGGTCTAGGATGTCTCACTCACTTGCCTGGTGGTTGTCTGGGTGTTGGCTGGGTGAAAGGAAGTGACTAGGCCATATGTCACTCATCATCCAGCAGACTAGCCTAGAAGTATATTCGTTATCTGTTGCTGTGTAACAAATTAGACAGCTAAAAATAATACACATTTATTTTCTCACAGTTTCTGTGGGTCAGGAACTCAAGTGCTGCTGAGCTGCATACTCTGGCTCAGCCTCTCTCACAAGGCTACAGTCAAGGTATCAGATGGGGAGGGTCTGTTTCCAAGTTCACTTATGTGCCTTTTGGTAGCTCTCAGGTCCTCACTGGCTGCTGGGGAGAGACGTCATTTCCTTGCCATTTGGGCTTCTCCATAGGGCAGCTCACAACATGGCAGTGGACCCCCTCGGCCAGGGAACAGTGACCCCTTCAGCAAGGGAACAAAAAACAGACCACAAGATGGATGTCACACAGCCTTTTAAAACCCAATATCATAGGAGCCAACCTATCGCTTTACCAGTGTTCTATTGGTGAGAAGCGAGTCTCTAGGTCCAGCCCATACTCAATGGGAGAGGATCACACAGGGCATTCACGCCAGGAGCCATTTTCAAGGCTGCTGGTTACACTGGGCTTGATTTTAGGCAGTGGCAGTGTTCCACCTAAGAACAGCAAGAGTGAATGCAAAAGTGTGCAAAGTCTCCTGAGGCCCAAGCTTGGAATCTGCATACGGTTAGCCAAGGCAAGTCATAGGGCCAAACCCAGATTCAAGATGTGGAGAAATAGACTCTATCTCTTGATGGGAAGAGTTACCAAGTTACATTGCAAATGAGCATAGGTACTGGCAGGCATGGAGAATAATGGAAAATTATGTCCATTTTTGCAAAGAACCACATGAGCTTTCCCAAGCGTTCCCCACTTGGAAAAGTCAAGTGTGCTTTCAAGCCCACAGGCCTTTTTTTTTTTTTTTTTTTTTTTGAGACTGAGTCTCACACTGTCACCCAGGCTGGAGTGCAGTGGCGCGATCTCGGCTCACTGAAACCTCCTCCTCCCGGGTTCATGCCATTCTCCTGCCTCAGCCTTCTTAGTAGCTGGGACTATAGTCAGGCCACCATGCCTAACTAATTTTTGTATTTTTAGTAGCAACGGGGTTTCACCATGTTGCCCAGGTTGGTCTCAAACTCCTGACCTCAGGTGATCCACCTGCTTTGGCCTCCAAAATTGCTGGGATTATAGGCATGATGCAGTGCTCCCGGCCACCCACAGGCCTTTGAAGGCTCAGTTTCCTCCTCCTGTGCTGTTCTGTCCCACCTTGGCCTGTGACCATCCTGCCAGTCTTCAAGGACCAACTCGCACTCTATATCACTTTCCTTTTTCTCCTATAACAAATTACTATGAACTTAGTGGTTTCAAACAACACGTATTTATTATCTTTCTTACAGTTCTGGGAGTCTGAAGTCCAAAATGGGTGTCACTGGGTTAAAATCAGAGCACTGGCAGGGCTTCCTGCCTTTCAGGAGGCTCTAGGAGAGAATCCATTTTCTTGCCTTGTCCAGCTTCCAGAGGCAGCCTGCATTCCTTGGCTTGTGCCCCCTTCCTCCAATTCAAAGACATGAATGGCTGGTAGAGCCTTTCTCACTCATATCACTCTGACACTGCCTCTTCTGCCTCTCTGCCACTTATAAGGACTCTTGCAATTAGGCAGGGCCCCATCAGATAACCCAAGACAATTTCCCCCATCTCAAAGTCAGCTCATTAGCAACCTTAATTCCACCTGCAACCTTAATTCCCCTTTGCCATGTAACCTAACACATTCACAGGTTCCAGGGATTAGGACACGACATCTTTAGGGGGCTGTTATTCTGCCCACCACCCTACCTCACTGCCACCTCCTTAACCCCCTGTAAACAACAATGGCAGAAGCATTTATTGAGTACTTACTAGGTGCCTGCCATTGTGCCCAGAGCTTCTTCCCAGAAGGTCTCTTTGACCTTTGAATGGTCTCATCCATTCCTCACAACCCTATGGACAGGTTTTTTTTTTTAGTGTTCTCATTTTACATACTCAAAGAAGTAACTCCCCAAGGTCACACAGTGAGTAAGGACTGGATATTGGAATTTGAACTCAAGTCTGCCCAACTCTGAAGCCAGAGTCCCAACCACTTGCTCATGCTGCCTACTTTGAGGACACCCTGATCCCTCCTATTAGAAGTCACCCCTCCTCTGTGCTCCCATAACTGAGTAATTGGGCTTCTCTTTCAAGAGATACCCTTCTGAAGTTTCCATTTTGGACAGGCCACCTCCCCAGTGCCTCTGTCAAAGTAGTCATAGTACTTCTTTAATGAAAATCTCCTATGTACCAGATCTTTCACATACAACATCTCACACTCTCTGTTAAGGCAGGTGCTATTTTCACTTTCCAGGTGAGAAAATAGACTCACAGAGTTCTGATTCCGCCACAGCATTCATTAGTGTCACTGCTGGGAGTAGAATGCAGCTCTAATTCCAAAGCCAGCTAGGCTACCTCCTGCAGCTGCAAATGCCCACGGCCTTTGCACACAGACTAGAAATACATCACAAGCTTGCTTCAAGATGGTTGTGTAGGACATTGGGTACAGTGGGGATTCTGGAGCCATGCTGCTGGGGTTCAACTCCCAGCACTCCCATTTTCTGTTTGTGTGACTTTAGGCAAGCTACTTAACCTATGTCTGATTCAATGTCCTCGTCTGGAAAATGGATATAATGATAGCACCTACCTCATAAGGGCTGTTGCAAAGATTAAATGAGTTAATATGCCTTAAGTGCCTCTGCAGTCATGCCACATGGTAAGTACTCAAAAGTGTTAGCTATGAATATGAGTTAGCCTGGTCAGCTGTGGGTCACTCAGTTCCCCTGCCCCAGTCTTGCTGGGCATTTCCCTTCTATGAAACATTACCCCAGACTGTGTGAATGGAAGGCTATCTGGAAGACCCACAAAGGTAAATGTTGAGAAAATACTTTGTAAACTGTAGAGTACTGTACCCGTGTTGGCTATTAATGATCGAAAGTACTTGGCAATCAGGCTGGGAAACCTGAATCCCCCTGGAGGACCCAGTTCAGGCCTCCTCAGCATTGGCCCCAGGGAAACAGAGGGCCGCAGCTGTCATATTGCATCCTCCCCACCCATCTCCGCCACTCCCTCCCCCAGTCCATCCTGGGGTGGCCGAAGCTGCAGGAATGTGATGGTATCTCCGCAAACAGACAGTCTGTTCCCAGAGGAGACAGGGCCGCCCCTGGGAGGCCCGACTCTCCCCAGACTCGGCCCCAGTAAACACAAGCCTCTGTCCTCTTTATCAGCTTTGCTCTGCAGCAGCGGAGACAGTCTGCCCGCTGGGGAGTCGCTGCAGAGCGATAAGCCACTAGGCCCCTTGTTGGCCGCCCTCCTGGGGCCACAGCCCAGCTGCCTGGGAATAGGAACCTGCAGGCTGGCCTGGCTTGGGGCCTGAACAACCTCCACGGTCTAGGGGGCTGAGAGTGAGGGGCTGGCTGCCTATACC